ATTTGTTTTTTTCTTTCTTTTTGGTCAGTTGTGTCTGAGTAGCAGAAGAGAACGCATCTCACTGTATACAGGAATATATTATACATTGTATAACTTTTACTAATTTTAATAAGTACATTTTAATAAAGAAAACTGCAACAGGTTATGGACCCAGAGATCAGTGAGTGGTGCAGTGGTATATGAAATAACACGTGTAAACATGGCAAGTGGTGGACATACACAGTTCGCAATTCAAAAACTGAATGGTGAAAATTGCTCGGTATGGAGTTATAAATTACAACTCCTACTGATAAAAGAAAAACTGTGGGATGTGATAAAGAATGAGAAACCAGCTACGGAGGATGCTGCTTGGGTGCAAAAGGATAACGAAGCACGTGCTACAATTGGACTGTTAGTAGAAGACAGCCAATTGCAGCACATCAGGAGTGCCAAGACAGCATGTGAAGCATGGAACTCATTAAAAGGATATCACCAGAAAGCCACCTTAACGAATAAGGTATTTTTGTTAAAACAATTATGTAGAACGGCCATGAAAGAAAACGGTAACATGGAAGAACATAGTACTATAATGTGTGGTTACTTTGAGAAACTGGCTGCCTTCGGACAAGATTTGCCAGCCAATCTTATGGGTGCAATGCTACTCGGAAGCCTTCCTGAATCTTATGAAACTCTCGTGACGGCACTTGAAAGCCGGTCCGAAGGTGACTTTACGTTAGAACTTGTTAAAAGCAAATTAATGGACGAATACAAGAGACGTAAAGGGGCAAAGGATACAAGAAAATGTTCAGAGACGGCATTAAGAACAGGGTACGGAAATAAAAATAGCACAGAGTCCAAGAAAAATTGCTATTTCTGCAAAAATCAGGACATTTTAAAAGTGATTGCGTAAAATATAAAACTTGGAAGAATAAAAAAGAGAAAGCTGATGCAGTCTCACAAGATTCTTCCAATGATTATTGCTTTCACGCGAGAGCAAAAATTTTTGAAGAAGCATATCTTGGAACGGAGAAGAAAGAAAAGGACAACACGAATGTATGCGTCGTCGATTCTGGGGCAACAAGCCATACGGCAACTTCGAAGAACTTCTTTCGGGAATTCGACGCGCGAAGAAAGGGACAAGTGTGTATTGTAGATGAAAGAAAAGTTGCCGAAGTGCATGGAATCGGTTCGGGTGTAGTAAGTTGTGTGTTGGACTCTAATGGGGTTTCCGAAATGAGAGTGTGTGATGCGTTGTATGTACCGTCTCTTGGATCGAACTTATTATCTGTAAAAAAAGCTAGTGAAAGCCGAATACAGATTGAAGTTCGACGAAAACGATTGTGAAGTTGTAAAGAACAACCAATTGCGAGCGGTAACGAAATTATCACCCGATTTGTATAGAGTAAGTACAATTGAAAAAGTTTATACTCCGAGCGGGTCTATTGTTAATGGGCATACAGCGGTTTGCCAGCATATCTGGCATCGCCGCTTTGGACATAGGAATCTTGATGCCATAAAGTTTTTAGCCAGCAAAAATCTAGCAACAGGTATAAAAATTAAGAGCTGTGGACAGCAGATGATTTGTGAATGCTGTGTAAAGGGTAAAATGGCTAGGTTACCTTTCCGAAAAATATCAAAAAGCAAAACAAATTCGATTCTGGATCTTGTGCATACAGTCGTGTGCGGACCTATGCACACAGTATCACCGAGCAACAAACGATATATTTTGACAATTATCGACGACTATTCACGTTTCTCCACTATTTATCTCATGAGTCATAAAGGCGAAACCGCAAAATGCATGAAAGAAAATGTAAAGAAAATGAAAACACAATTTAAGAAAAAACCAAAAATAATAAGGTCGGGTCGGGGAACGAAATATGTTAATGAGTACTTAAAGAACTATTTGAGACAGGAAGGGATGCAAGCACAATATACAGCAGCTTATATTCATCTCAGCAGAATGGACTAGCTGAACGAAAAAATATGTCGTTGCTCGAGATGGCAAGGTGTATGCTACTCGATGGTAATGTAGATAAAAAATATTGGAGGGAAGCTGTAAATACCGCCAATTATTTATAAAAACGATTACCTACGAAAGCGATCAATCCAACCCCATACGAACTATGGTTTTCGAAAAAGCCGGATGTCGGAAATTTACACGTTTTTAGTTGTAGTGCGTACATATATGTACATAAAGAGCAGAGGAAGAAACTAGATGACAAAGCCGAAAAGCTTACATTCGTCGGCTATTCGAGTGAATCAAAAGCATTTCGCTTGTTAAACACAAGAACAAATCGAATTAAAATCAGCCGCGATGTCGTATTTTTAGATACGGTAAGCGAGGACAGATTGACTCGTGTGACGGACAACGAAATTTCTTTCTCGGAACTGAAGAACAGCACGAAAGACGACCATTAAGATGTAGAAAGCGTAAAATTATCCGATCAAGAATCTTCGGAAGATGGATTAAGTACAGACGAATATATGTCGAGTAATGAAGCAAACGGGAACCACGAAGAAATGAATTAAATACAGTGCAGACGGTCTCAGAGAACAAATAAAGAAGTACCACCAGACAGATATGTAGCATTTTCAAGCATGGCTCTGAATACAGAACATAAACCAAGAAGCGTGAAGAAAGCATTGACAGGATCTGATAAAGATAATTGGAAGAGAGCTATGGATGACGAAATCAATTCATTGATGGGGAACGGCTCCTGGGAAGTCGTACCGAAACCAGAGAATGGAAATATAATCTCGTGTAAATGGGTTTTCAAAATTAAGCGAAACGTCGATGGAGGTATGGAGAGACATAAGGCCAGACTCGTCGCTCGAGGGTTTTCACAAAAGTATGGCACCAACTACGATGAGATTTCGCGCCAGTAGTAAGACAATCAACGTTCAGGACACTTTTAACGATCGCTGGACAAAAAGGCATGTCGATCAAACATTTTGATGCGAAAACGGCCTTTCTAAACAGGAAATTGACCGAGATAATATTTATGGAGCAACCTGAGGGGTATGAAATACCTGGTAAAGATGAGTATGTTTGTAAACTTAAAAGAGGTATTTATGGTTTGAAACAAGCCGCCAAAATTTGGAACGACCAATTGAACGATTTGTTAAAGAAATACGGTTTCAAACAGAGCCAGGCAGACTCATGTCTATATATCAAACATGATAAAGGAGAACTAATTTATGTTACCATTTATGTAGGTGACATTTTAATCGCAGCAAAAAATGACAGCAAAATTAATAATACTGCAGAGTTATTAAAGAGACATTTTCATCTGAATAACCTAGGAGTATTGAACCATTATTTAAGAATAGAAATTAGGAGAGATAAAGAAGGTTTCTATTGTATTAATGAAGCGAAATATATCAAGAAAATACTGCACAGATTTGGTCTCCAAAACGCAAAAGGATCAAGTATACCTTTAGATCAAGGGTATTACAAATATAAAGATAATAAATTGGAAATGCCAGAAAGTAACAAATACTAACAGCTCATCGGAGCATTATTGTACGTGGCAGTGAATACTAGACCTGAACCAAGCATCTCAATCTTAAGTCAGCGGAACAAACATCCCGCGACAAGTGATTGGACGGAAACAAAGAGAGTCGCACGCTACATAAAGGAAACAATAGATTACGAACTAAAACTCGGTCAACAGGTTAAAAAGGGTGAACTAATTGGTTTTGCAGAAGCAGATTGGACACAAGACAGAAATTACAGAAAATCAAATAGCGGATATCTGTTTCAATTTGCCGGAGCCTCAATAAGCTGGGCTTGTAAGAAACAATCCTGTGTCTCATTGTCTTCCACGGAAGCTGAGTATGTGGCACTTGCAGAGGCTACTCAAGAGGCTGTATGGTTACAACGCCGACTGGAAGATTTCGGAGAAAATGTCCAGGACACAATCATATATGAGGATAATCAAAGCTGCCTGAAACTCACATCTAACAAAGTGTGCGTGTGCGTGTGCCGACGAGTGACTGCTTATGTGTGAAAGAGGCGACGCGACCTCCATTTGTTTTTTTCTTTTTGGTCAATTGTGTCCGAGTAGCAGAAGAGAACGTATCTCACTGTATCCAGAAATATATTATACATTGTATAACCTTTACTAATTTTAATAAAGAAAACTGCAACAATTAGCGAGGTAAATGAAGATAGCAATAACATTATTAATAACATGGTATTCAAGCGCTGAAAGTGTGCCTCATGCCTATGACAAAAACTAGAACCTTATGGAAGCACAGAAAAGCGCAGAAAAGTGAAGAGAAAGGCTTGGAAAATTAAAAATTTAAGATCGGTCAGAAAATATTCACCAGGAATATAGTTTCAGATTCCGAATAAATAATTGGCTTTCGAAATTCAAATAGCCGAATATTCGGAACATGCCGATACAGCTCGAGGCTCGGACATCCGCACATCCCTAGTTGTGAACAAACCTAACACCCAAAATTTTCTAGGCCCAACCTACCTTTAATTAAAAGCAACTGAATTATTGCGGTAGCTTGTTTTCGATCTCCAATGCGTTATGCTGCGTTGAAACGTAAATTTCGGTTTCGATAGAAACGGACCCGATCCCCGCCGAACAGTGAACATATTGAAAATAGATATCTCGTTCTTTCTCCTTACCCTCCATACAAGGACCGCCCCTTACATGTATTAAAGAGTAGATTGGTAATTTATAAAATCAAACATTTATGTATGACATGATTTATTTGACATATACAACTATTCATATAGTTATGTCACGTTGATGATACTTCATTTATGTTTAAACAATGACATACTGCCTGTCTCGCTTACACGATGCAATGTACTAAATAGGAAAGAGAGAGAGAACGAAAGGAAGAAAATTGTAACTAGTATTGAGATAACAAACAGTTTGTACGTAGCTGATTATTATGCGGCTAGTTCGTAAATGGTATGCGAGGCAATTTACGATAATACAAGTTTTAATTATTTTTCTACTTATCAATAAGCAAGCCAAATTTAAAACATACATAGATCACATGAAATAACCGAATCCAAATGTACGTTTTATAGCATCCCAGTAATACCTTTCCCAATTTTCTCTTGTAGATTCTTCCTCACTGCGAACAAACATAATTAATTACCTTCGTATAGAATCATAGTTTATTGAAGTACAAAATATTCTTTATAAAAAATATTTATTACAAAATATTTTTACAGCGGCTTTAAGTAATACATATAAATAGAATTATAACTTTCAATTTGTTCGTCAATTTTTAATTTGATAACGCAATTTATAAATTCTTTTGCAAAATTTTAAATTGTTTACTATAAAATAGTAGACAAAATTTTAATCAAAATAGCATTTTGTGAAATATTAATGTTAATAGTTAATTGAACACAGAGTTAACATGTTTCCTGCTTGATGAGTTTTCGCTTATTTTCTATTCATGCCAGTCGTATGTGTCTCGCTATTGAACTATAATATAAGAGAACTATTAAAATTAATAATTTTGTTTAGAATATTATGGCGATCACTGTTCACGCACTCACCACCAGGGGGAATTAAAGTTCTAAATTTCTTGCAAGTTCTCGGTAAACCCTCCACTTCCTATAGGTACAAATTCTGACCTGCCAATAGTATCCCCGTCTAAAGCAGAACCTGCTGGGGCAGTCTACTACTACTACTACTACTCTACTACAACTACAACTACTACTATTACTACTACTATTACTACTACTATTACTGCTACTGCTACTGCTACTGCTAATGCTACTGCTACTGCTAGTACTATTACTGGCAAGGACCAGGACGAAACGTGTACCCTTTCTTTTCGTTTCGTCCAAAAGATCGATACCTGCTCAAGAAGATACCATGTCGGCAACCAGAGGATACAGCAGCAAACCTCTCAAGTTGGGGTGAAGTCCTCATAATATACACTTTACAACGTTTGTAAAATTACCAAATCCATTGCTATTAAAAAAAAATATATACATGGAAGGTTTAAGAAGATAAACTACTTTAACCTATTGAAAATGTGTTTGAAACTTTTTAGGACTTATTTGAGCAGGAAAAACATCTTTTTGAAAATTTGTTTACTAATATTAGAAATGAACGTAAATAATATATACAAATACTTATTTTCAATCTTTCCTTGAAATACAAATGCTAATGGAGAGTGTATTATGGCACATATGGCTGCACATAGTATATGCGATTTTTTATGAACATATTTTCTAATGAAAATGCAATAGAGGGATATTAAATAAATTTTAATTATCTACCGCCTAACGTGCAATTTTTCGATTATGCCAAAAAATTACGAAATAACTGTTGATGAAATTGGGACTCTGAATTATCGATGATGTGGATTAGTTTGAAAAGTGAAACATAGAATCGTGCAAAAATGAGCAGAAACGAGGGAATGTGTGAGGATGAACGGGAAGAAGAACTGGCAGAAAGTGCTACCACGTAGAAGGAAATGCATACCAAAGAGTTTCTACAAAGGAAGAGGCTTGACTTTCATCTTATATATAAATTTACTTTCTGTAAGAAAATATTGTTTGTGTATAATCACGTAAAAATAAAAATATGGGAAAAATTGTACATCAAACTATTTCCCAGAACATATTTAAGAATATCTGCACGAATTTTGTAAGAATTGATAATGTACAACATGCATCGTTTTGAAAAAATTGGTTTTGGGAAAAATGCAATGTATTTGAATAGAACCGTAATGTATTTTTCCTGCCCTTCACAATTTTTCTGCTACCTATTTCCTTAGTTTTTCAAGTAATTCTACTATTTCAAGAGAAATGACATTGATTAAAATGCCAATTTTCCCCATTATATGGAGGTCCGTATTATTCGTTAAAGTAAATATCGACATAGTTGCAATTCTTACTGTTCTTGATACATTGGAATATACTTCCAATGCTATGTTTCAAATATGAGTAAACTTTTGTGTTATAATTGCAATCGAACTCTTGCTATTTCAAATCCTGAGACTTTAACTAATGAATTAATGAAACAATTACAAATTAGCTAAAAAAAGAACTGCTAAAGAAATACTGGTTTAAGTTAAAGAAAGAAAAATGTGATAACAGTCTAAATGAAAAAAATTGAATAGAACTATCCGACCTATATAGACTGTCAAAAAGAACATCGTACAATATGTATCGACAAATATTTCATACAAATTCAGGAAAAGATGAGTATTTTAATAAAATGGAATTAATAACGTTCAGTTTAGCATATTTTAATATCGATCAAGAGAATGATGAAGATATATATGGAAATAAAAGATATACGAAACTGGTAACGATAGTGACGAAAACAAGAAGTAACGAAGTATAGATAAAAGTAAGGAATGAAAGAAACTACCTTTATATAAAAGCCTGATAGGCCCCCAGGAAAAATCGCATTCATGCGTGCGAGGGGTCAATTGTCGTCTGTATGTCTGATAAAAAAAGCAAGGTACATGCTATATATAAGTAAGAAAGTTTCATATCGTGTTATTGAAATAGAATATAAGAATCAAATATACAGAGTGAATCTCTCGTAACATCAAATGACTCATAAAATATTTGTTGTAGGAAAAAATGTTTCAGATAAAAGTGACACGGCTTCCTGAGAAACATATATAGTACTGCGACGAATTTTTTGTTATTTTGCACTTTTATCAAGATATGATAGTAACCTTCAATTTTTTAAATGGAATAGTTAATATCTCTTCCTAAATTCGAATTGAATTCTCTATTAAAATGTATTATACCAAATTTGGTCTAAAATACATATTACTGAAATATTAGCAAAATAAATTTTATTTTAAGCGATGTTCAAACTGCTGCTCATTACAATCTCGATTTTAATACGCATGAATTTTTGTGCAATAAATGCTGTCAGTTTCCTTGAACATTTTACTTACAAGGAGAGTGCAAGTCCTTCGGATCACCGATTTCGTTCAAACTTTGCAGGTTTGTAGATCTCGTCATGCAATTCAAGAAAATATACCATTATAGGGGCAACTATTGAGTAGTTTTTGAGATATTTATGATTAATGTTTTATTACTTCCTTAACTACAGATGTATTTCCACTAGTTTTCAAGTAGCGTTGTGGTCCAACGGCGATGTCCGAAAATTCTTACAGTACAGGTTGAGGTTCGGTTCCCGTCCACAGTTTGGTGCTTTTTTCCAATCTACTTTTTATTTTGTATTCATTTCTTGCCTGCAGGAAACAGACTGTTTGGAAAATACATTCCGATGCCTGCGAGTTTGCTTATCGATTCAAACATAATCTAACGCCAGAAACTCTCGAAACTCTTGACAGAGAACGCAAGACCGAAACAAATATATAGAACGATTTTTCAAATGACCATAAATGTGAATTATTTGAATAAAATGTAGCAAAATTTATTAGTTACTACTCGTGAAGAATAAAATAAATTGAATTTATTTAATATTTGCAATAATTTTTATATACTTGCATAAAGAAGATGTAAAAAATAAATTTTTTTATTAAGAAATTTTATTCACAGGCGAAAAATGAATACAAAATAAAAAATATATGAAAAAATGTACCAAACTGTGGACGGAAATCGAACCCAGATCTGCAGCGCAGGAATTTTCGGACGTCGCCGCTGGGCAATAACGCTACATAAAAACTAGTAGGAATACCTGCAGTTAAGGAAGTAATAAAACTTTAACCATAAATATCAAAAACTACTGAGTAGTTGCCCCTATAATGGTATATTTTCTTGAACTGCATGACGAGATCTACAAACCTGCAAAGTTTGAACCAAATCGATGATCCAAAGGACTTGCACTCTCATTGTTAGTCTCAAAAACGTATAATGCGACGGCTGATTTCCATCAGGATATTTAACCCTCCGTATACTGTGCCGGAGTCATATTTGACTCGGGGTCTCCCCAGACATGCACAAACAGTGACAAGATCTCACTATCCCACAGTTACTGCTTCTGCTTTATGCTTCAATATGTTGTCTGCGTGTTGGAGACATTTGTTTGGCGGAGACCGCTACAGAGCTAATTAAGGTTTCGGACCTAGTTTTCAATTCTATTTTCCAACTTATACCGTTTTATTATATTCTGAACCGTAGATCTGCTTCTATTAACAATATTACTAATTTCTTATAAACCTTTTCCATTTTGATAATGACTAATAATTAATTTTCGCAACTCAACTGATGTTTCTGTTTATTTCCGACTCATTTTGCTTAATAACGCGACAAATTCTTTACTTCCAAACAAAAGAACAATAATCAATAGTTTTTTGTTTCGTGTAAGATATACGGGAAATCCCGGTATAGCAAAAAGAAAATACCTAGAATATACACTAATGTCTACATATTGACTGTACGAATACGAACTAGAGATAGCCCTATGACCAGTTACATTTTTTCGATTTTTCTATGTTTTTAATACAGGAAAAATAAACCTGTTTCGTAGATAGAAATTGTGTGCTGTAATATTGAAGATTTCACAAAAATAAATGAAAATTATTAACAGAAATGTGATTTTTTTCATTTATACTATACCACCATATGTTGAACGAATACAAGTGGGAGTAACTGTATATCACAATATGTACTTATTGCGAGAATCATGTATGTGGTATTCATTCTATTCAGAGTCGTACAATTATATGTAATGTATGCAATACTAGTAGAAATACTGAATAAATATAACTTTTTTCATGAATTATGATGTACTTTCCTATATTTACGCCAAGAATGCAAACATAATTCGAAACGAAAAATTAATTGTAGTAATCATAAAATCATATTGATGATATATTGATGATCATAAAATCAGTATTAGCAACGCGTCGAACCTCGAATGATCGTCGATGTTTTGGCCTAACATCCAGGAGTATCTCGAGCCTCGAGTTACCATCAATGGATTAGATAACATTCGTGAGAACCTTGACTTCGAGCGAATGTGTATTAGTAAAATATGGGTGTGAGTCAGAAGTGATTCCGGCACAGGACTACAAGCCCCAGTACTTGGAGGGTTAACTATTTAAGTTCTTCATACAAGTATGTATACTTATATAAAAAACTGTTAACTAAGGATCATCATATAACATGAATTTATAAGCAACACTCTACGCTTGCAATTTTAAAGTCAAGTTCACTGGTCTGTATAAAAGTAATATCAGTTTTGCATACTTCGCAAGTCATCAAAGGGTATATTATGGTAAATAATAAGAAAAATTGAAGAAACGGAAAAAAGGAAAAAGGAAAATTTTTAAAACAGTTAAAGAAAGAACAGAAAAAGGGCGAGGGACTAAAAGGAAAGAGAGTAAAGAATAAATAAAACATGACTCAGGTGAAATCAAGGAAAAGATCAACCTAGAGAAACAAATTGTGAAGGAACATAAGAAGCAGTGAAATGGAAGGAATAGGCTTGTAAGTTGAAATGTCGCTAAAATAAAGAATCTAAAAGAAGCACGGAATTATGTACAAGATGAACTGTTGGATAATACTACGGGAAATATAGATGGGAAAAATGTTGAAATCCAATTTTAAGCAAATTAAATAAGGAATTTAAGTAGCGGGTAAAAATACAATAACAGAAGAGAAGAGAGGAAGGATAGGGGATGCTATATGTATATTCTAAGCTTAGGGGAAGGAATAAGAATATGAGTTCGTAAAAAAAAAAAAAAAAAAAAATTAGAGGCAATAATCTTTGTCCATCTTTGATCAAAGATATACACGAGAAACTAAGAAGATTACAATCAGGATTCCATCAGAATCAATGAAGATAACGAAGAGAACACTTGAAAAAGTAAAACGAAAAACGTTAGTACTAACGAAGAAAGAAGAAAATAATCCTGAAACCGTACGAAAACTGAAATACTTTCATAAACAGAAATAAAGAAACGTGATGGGCGAAAGTAGAAGTCGCATAATACAAAAGTTTGCGTCCAACAAAAATTACATCCAACTATAAGAGAAGATAGAATAAATGCTAGCCAAGATATGCTATCCCGCAAGAATATATTTCTTTATGAAAAAAAAAAAGATTCCGTAAAGAAGCAAGAGGAAATAAAGGAATAGAAAGAAAACGCAGAAACAATTAAGGATTGATAGACGATACTTAATAAAATGATAGATTATTTTGTTCTTTAAACTGTATTGTATTTTATGTAATGTATCTATTATTGTACATCTACCTAAATTACTCAGCAATTTGCACGCACTAACATTGCATACTAAATGTAAAAAAGACTTTCTATAATGTTCGAGAGAAGCACTTAACAATATAGGTATAAGTAGATACACTTCTTCATTATACGTACCACAAAACTATTAGTGCAACAACAAATATTGGCAGATTAATCAATCCAATATACCATGTAAAGAATTTGAATAAGACGATAGAGATACGAGACCAACACTATACAAATTTCAGTATAACTATACAAAATTTTGTTATAGCTAAAGAAATATTGTAATATTTCAGAAATGCTTGAAACTCAGCAGATATGATAAATACTGCGAAATCTGGGATATCTGATTGCCGAATTGACAATTGATAAAGAGAGATTAAAATAAAAGAAAATCCTATAAATTATATAGCTTAGATCTATAGATATTAGGAGTGTACGAGACCTGAAAAATGTGGAAACGAGGCGAGACCTCGAAAACTATGTTTCCAATTGAGAACAACGAGATTCTTGAAAATATTTCAACAGAATAAAAAGTAATTCAAATTTTTTATTTTTTTGCACAAATTATCAAAATATGTTAAAAGTTAGTTGTTCAATTTGTGTCAAGATTTCTGTCCCCTTGTTAAATTTATATAAAATACTCGACAATATACGCTATACGATCATCACTGTAAGTGACTGTACATAGCAGGAAACATGTTAAGCACTAGAGAATAGAAGATTACATTCTTTCATACCTGACTGGTACTCCAACTTGTGTTAAATTAACTTCGGTATGGTCACTTTTTTCGCAAATATCAATAGTAACATCGCTAAAATGGCCTTCGGGCCATTGTTTACAGCGCCATCTTTGAACAATTCTTGTTGGCGTTATATCCACGAAATAACCATGTATATTGCCACCAAACAATTCAAATTTTCCTTCTTTCTTTGGTTCGAGTACTACCGGTCCCTTTGTAAAGGCTTGAACCATCTGAAAAGAAAATATCAAATTACAGAAACACTTTTTTCATTAACTTCCACAGATATTTAATTAACTTTCGTACGTAATCGGACGTAATCATATATATATATTCGTCAGGAAAATAAAATTGGCATTAAATAAATATAGCAAAATCTTGAAATATTATCCAAAAGATACATATAATGTATTTATAATGATAATAACTAATTCTGAAATAATATTCTTTAATTCTAAATAAACTAGCCGTGATCCATAAATGAAAAATGAGCATACAACTGAGATCTATATCCACATTGATGTAATTTATTCACTAAAATTACTTTCGATTTTGGGAGCCGAAACAAACTATAGTGAAACTAACATGAACCAGCGTCGATGTTACACCAATGATATTCAAAGCGAATATATTTCCCCCAAAAGATCAAGCGGTTGTAATTGAAATTAAAGGCGGAATTGAAATTAAAGATAATGTTTTTAATGCTCTAGGATAGATAACGGGCAATTCTCAATATATAATACTTTTAAATCTGTAGCTAACGATACCACACTCCATCATTGAAACAAGTTTTACAAAATGTGACAAAAAGAATAAAATCATCGATAATCCATGTACCATCCATAAGAATGGAAAACAATAAGCGAGTCCACACTAATAAAAAAAAAAAAAAAGCTAGAACCTTTGCAAACCATTTAACACTGCTCTCCCAACCATGTCATCAAATCAATCATTATCTGGATATAGAGGATCAAAATACTTCAACTTTTGAAGCAATTAATCAATCTGAGGGAAAGAAATTATAAAACAAAGAGTGGGGGAAAATAATAGTAAACAAAAGTATCCGGCGTTGATTTATATAAATGGGAAAATTTAGGTAAAAGCATTCCTAGAAAAAGTGTCAAATTTTTAACCATTCTGTATAACATAACCTTAAGACTAATTTATTTTCCTATACAATGGAAAACATACATCACAGCACAAATACTATTAATAGGTAAACCAATCTAAAAACCCAGCATTAGTGAACTTGTACAGACCTAAAGTCACCTGCCGGATATAATTGCTTGAAATAATCATTGGCAACCGCATAAGTATAGCTATAGATGGAAAGAAACTTATACCAGAATATTAAACGAGGTTAAAACATGCCACAACTTAACACTTGTTACACAAATAAATCAATCATTTGAGGAATGAAAATACTGTTCTTCAGCTTTCACCGACATCACGCAAGCGTGAGTAAGTCGTGGCATCAAGATTTGCTATATGTATGAAATAAAAAAAAAAAATTACTACTATCTACTTACTATAAAATACTGAAATTCTACCGGAAAAACAAATACTTGACAGTAATGTACAATGAAGAAATATACAGAAATACGTCACATAATTTCTAACGTATCATAAGGGAACGTACCTAATTCTCTACTATATACATACATATTGTATACTATACACGGCAGACATGCCCATGGCTCAGGATATAACCTGTTTTTGCTACATTTGCCGACGATGCGGCAATAATAACCGTAAATAAGGACCCACAGAAATCTTCTATCCAGTTGCAGAACACTTAAAATGGTATTCAAGGGTGGTTAAAAAGATGGAGAATCACAACCAATCCAGAGAAATCTGCTCACATAACCTTTACATTTAGGAAAGGCAGATGCTCACTAGTGTCGCTAAATTCGAGAATTATACCGGCAACGGATTCCGTTAACTATCTCGAAATTCATTTAAACAGCAGACTGAACTGGAGAAAAATACATGTGGTGAAAAAGAAAAAAGAAAGAACGAAAAAGAACTCGGTATGCAACTACGAAAATTGTACTTGCTCATAAGACCTAGATTAAAACTGTTCATCAACTTAAAACAATAATCTATAAAAGCATACTAAAAGACATAGTCATACGATATAAAGCTTCGGGGCTTAGCGTCCATCAATTTCAAACGACTAAAAAATTACTCCTATTGTCACACCGCGAGTGAATTCCTACGAGTTGTAAGACAACCCCACGATCTTGATACGATGTCCAGCGAATGAATTTTGGACATCTGATAATTGTTCGTTCCGTTGAACGATTCTTGATTGATTAACGGTTCTCCAGACTGTTAGAAACCCACAGAATGAACGTGATGCCGCGACTACTGACGAGTAATTAAATGAAAATCAAAGACTGTTAACTGTAAAAAGCCGAAAAGGACTGACTGACTGTGAAAAAGTTGAAAAGCTCAGCAAATGAGAAGTATGGCTCCACGGTTTTCCACAAATATTTTAAGCAAAATCGGAAGTTTAGCAGAGGAACGAATGCTTTCAAATTCTCTGTGGAATGAAACTCTAAAGTGATAAAATTTTAAAAGTTGAATGATTTTAGCACTTAAAATCTAGCTGTTAGAAGACCATAACGGTATCTTCTAGAGCTGTTTTCATTCCACGACGGGACAACTATCACACGGGATTTCTCCAGGTTTTCGATATTAGTCAATATCTGTGAAACATATCTGTGAATAAATCATTACAGACACATATTTCAATGTGTTTTCTGAATAAGCCTAAATTATTTAAACCAATATATTTTGGAGTAAAAAGATTATTACAAAATGTATAATGTCATGTGCCTCTCACTATGTTTCGAAGACAGTATCAACTAAATTGTCAAATAAAATAACAGTGCCTTGCCCCGTAGCGCTGTTTACTATAATCTGTTTTATTATTTATTTTATTATTGTACTCACTGAGAGATGTAAGAAATGGCTAATCAACATAGATCCTGCTGTAAATCGTTTTGAAGTAATTTCTTGCTTTTTCCCTGCTTTTTTTTCTTCTTCTTTCTTTTTTTTTTCTTTTTTCTTTTTTCTTTTTTCTTTGCTTGCAAACATTAGATATTGTGAGTTTCTTCGCAACGCATCATCCTTTTAATGCAATGCAAAATTCATATACATATACGGATCTTAAATGATATCTGTAAATATTCTTTCCGGAAACATTCCACAAATATCGTATTCTAATACAACATTATTTATTGTAGAATACTATTCCGTTACTGATAGCTGATTAATAGTTGTAAAGTTTCAAAATGACCTCACGGGAAGGAATCCAAGGGATTCAAGCCACGTAATTATGTCAATTTTGAACTAATGTATTTATAAACTTATTTCCCTATTCATATTCAGCGTATCGTAGAAAAATTTATGGTATCAAATACTCGTAAATAATAAAAGTCGATATTAGCCAATGTGTACGGCAAAATTCAAAAACTATTTAGAATAATGGTTTGACAGAGAAACACACACGCGTACACGCACACACACACACTGCGATGCTTTATTATTGATAATAAAGATATTGTATACAGATATTGATGCTTTATTATTACTATTGAGTTTATTGGCGTAGGTATGAATGGTGGAAGAAAATGCCCAAAAAAACACGTTATGCGAAAAAAAAAAAATTACGTTGTCCCAATTGCGGTAAAAATTTTTCTTTACAGTTAAAAATTACGATTAAAATATCAGTTAGAACCTATACAAGTTACAACCGTTATGCACGTACCCAAGATCATTACTGACTTTTTGTTTGTCAGTCCTATGATTAGTAAAGACTTTGTGCTAGTGCTCGATAAAAAAGGTTTTACCCTTTTTCGAGAATATGATTTTAAAGCAGAGGCCAAGTGTTGTTGCAAGCGCAACAAATAAGGGTAATATAAGCCAAAGACCTAATCAGGCCTATAATATTAAATCTAACGATATTTAGATCATGCTGTTCTGATCATTTAATCTCAAGGAATTGTATGTACATTATAACCGAAGTTACACGTTCTGTTTAAAGTGATGACGACTCGCGATTTTTATAATGTCACAAATAAAGGAAATATTTAGGTGTTCTCATTTAAGGAAGGATCCTGGTGTAGTCCGAAAAAAAATCAACTTTTTTCTCGGCTGTAATCAACAGTACAACATTCCTAGAATATATTTACGAATTTTCAATGCAGTTCTCAAAATATTAAATATTAAAGGAATTAATATTATAAAATATTAAAGGACCTCACAGCATAGTTACTACGTGCAAGTACACGAGCGCGTGACGAACGTCTTGGAACACTTTAAACACTTTTTCTCGAAACTGCTTTTTTACCACAATGGCGAGAAAGGCATCACAAAAATTAGGTTATCAATTCACTTAAAATTTAGCATAAATATACTATGATACTAGTATTTACTAGTATACTATATACTAGTAGATAAATCTGCTAGCGTACTAGTATTGTACTAGTAGATAATAGTAGATAAATTTAAACAACCTTTTTATACATAAATGTAGGATCGCGTTGGGTGGATTGGCTAAAATAGCGCTGTTTTACTTCTTGATAAAATACACTAAGCTTATACGTAGATCGACGGCTATGAAACAAGGGGGATTTGCTATGGGTACGTTCAACTTTGACTTCTTACATACTGACACACTATTGGTAAATTCCTAAAGACTCTTGGAGACCGTAAAGACCTGTAAACTGTTCATGACTCTAGACCGTAGACCATGGAGACTGTTCACGAGCCTGTGGAGACTGGAGCTGCCCGCGCCCTTGCACCTTTATTTAAAGCATTCATCCTGTCCTTCCATACCCAGGCTTTCCTTTGCAATCATGCCCCTTTCCCACGCAACATCGGTGGGCCAGGTACTTCACAGCCACTCTGGACGCATCCCTAAACTTTCCCTCGACCCTACCATAAACATTCTTTGTAGTTAATTCGCTTGCACATGGTCACTTTCATCCTAAGCCCAAAAACACTTGGCATTCTTTCAGGGCCGTACTTATTCCAATCCCATATAAATATACATAAAATTTTTATGAAAAAATCGACTTTTCCTTCAAAGAATTTAACAATTTTCAACTTTTTCAAATTTTTAAGACTTCATCGACTAACTTCGTTCATAAAACGTAAGAAAATTATTTGTATGTCTGTTTCGGTCAAATACGGGAGGACCTACTTCCGAGTACAGCTCCTGCCA